CTGCTCAGTGGAAGGTCCTTCCACTGCTTTTCTTTGCTTCCAACTCCCTTCCCCTGCTTCTCCAAAGCAGACCTTTTTCTAACGTGAGCAGGTTAATGGCCTCCTCGTACTTCCATGAATTCTTATTTTCAGACAACTTTATTCACGATAGCAGCTATGCTTAGTTCTCAGTCTTCCAAAGAAAGCCTAATGAACTCTGACAGGAGGATTTATCTGAAGGTATTCCTACTCTATGCCTTTGCTCTGGCTGCTGGTTCATAGCTGACCAGTATTCTTTTAAGCTTTTTCTATCAATCTCCGTTTTGTTAAAAGCTCTTTCTCCTTTTTACCCAGAAGATGTTTCGAGTACAGACTCCAAACTTTGTCTAGCTGCACCTTTCTGCTGTTCCAGGAATAGTCTGAACAGGGCTGCAATCAGTGTACTTTTTGCACCACTGTGTCTGTATACTGTATTCTGTGGCATGTCTAGAGTTTGTCCCTCTGCACTAGTTGCTATCTTGTTAATGCAGTTCTCCATAAATGCTGCAAACCCAAAATTAAATTAAAATTAGGATGGTCTTGTGAAAGTAGATTTGTTTTCTTCTGGACCAACAGAAATAAAATAAAAATAAAACCTTGAAACAGGCCAGAGTGCTGGAAGTATTTGTGTCTCTTCCTCCACTGATGTACATTGAAGTAAACGTACATTTGGATTACCTTACATTCTTGGATTTTTAGTGCCCTGCTCCAAAGGCATTAATCTCCCATGATCAATCTTTGCTGACTGTTGTCTAACCTCTCATAGCACGGTGGCACACTTCAGGACTGTGGATAAGGCACAATCTGTGGAGTCATCTTGCTGTCAGGTGCTCTACTCTGCAGAGAGCTGCGAAAAGATACTTGCTGAATCACCCTGGCTTGATTTAAACACTCAGCCTAGCATGCAAGAGAGCCTGGAGAACCAAAACTGAGAGAAGGGGTTATGGCAGAGCTGCTGAACAGATGCACTCGACACTGGAGGGGAAGCTTAGGCTGAGAACTGTAACTGGCATTAAAGTCTGTCTTCTGCCCTTGGGTGGGTATTAATGGAAACTGCTCTCAGTTAGTGAGATGCCAGACATTCACAGCCTAATTTGAGAGACAAGACTTAGTTCGCCAATGACTTTTTCTGGAGTGGGAGGAAGAACTCTGATCATTGCTAAGTGGAGTCTTGGTACTAAATAGCTAATGTGCTTCTTAATTAAGTTGTTCTGTCTCAGGAGACATGTTAAGTACTATGCATGTGGTACAGTGTCCCGTATAGAAATTGCCCTATGAAATCACAGAGAGGAGTAAAAATTCCTTTCCATATTTGTGTGGTAGAAATTGTGTAATTAAAGAAGGAGCTAAAGTTGGTCCAACAACTACCGTCACCTGAGAATGTTTCAACTTAGCTTAAAATGTAGGAAAAAAAGCCAAAGGTATGTACTGTATGCAGCAAGTATTCGTTTATTTGCACATTTAAAATGCATCAGTGGTTTTCTGGAACAGCAGACAGCAAATACAAACATCAAGACAATATCATAAATGTAATTAGGTACTCATTCATTCAAAGTCTTTGAAAGGATCGGTGGCAATAAGACCAGATTGAACAATTCACAGATTTTTCTACCAGTATCTGAACAAACTGAGCGATGGAGGAACTTCATGTCTTCAGTGGAGCAGTATTCACATTTGACGTTAATGTTCACATCAGAAAGGCTGCAAAGGCACACTCTGAGCAAAAGACAAAGGCAAAGTTTGCTGCTGACAAGTTTGGCCTTCAGCCAAGGGTGCAACTGAAAACAGAAGCACCACATATTTACCTTGCCCTGCCATCTCTGTATGAATTCTTTGATAGGTGGGAAATGAAAAGCTCCGTGTTCTACAGACGAACATGAGCTCTGTGTTCCAGAAGATTAAAATTCCAGAATTTTGCTATGGGAATTTTCATTTTCATAATGTTTAGAAAATCACAGCCCAAATTGGACTGCCTGAGCATGTGTATGCATACATGAACATTTTAAAGTTAAAAAAATTAGAACACTGTGGAGTCCGTCCTCTCCCTGTTTCCTTGCTGAGACAGGTGACTAAGATGCTGAATGCAGACCATTGCTGTTGCATTCTCTTCTGGTTGCCAGGTCACTCTCACTAAGCAAGTGCAGTGGAGTTCACTGAAGTGCCACCCTGATGGACTTCCAGGGAAGAGGTGTTGTGCTGTGCATTTCAGCCATCACACAGATCACTTGCCACACCTTCACCTAAAAAGTCATCTTAAACTGTGTGCATCCAAGCCAGGCTGCAGCATTCTTTGCTTGCTAGCAAGTTTACCTTCACCAGGACTTCATGCATACTGTTAATTTTTTGCTGAATTGTGGCTGCAGAGAGGACAGACATAACTGATCTGTAGTAGCTCTGCAGCTTGTTTTTTTATGACAAGTTCTCAGAAACTAAGTCTAGTTTTCTGACTCTTTGCCAAGGTAATTGTTTTTTATTATCCTGCTACTTTTGGAAAAAAACCACAAAATATGGGCAAAACTCTGATTTTATTTGGAGATAATGAATTAACTTCCTGTTTGTGTAACAAGGTAAAAATATTTTAGCAGCTTCTTTACAGGAAGAGTGGCCAATTTGTAAGCTTTTTTTTGTTTCATAACAGAAAAATACTTAGGCCTGTCAGCGAACTCACAGATACTTCATGGGCGATATTTTCATTGCTGACAATACTGACTTCCAAGGACAGCTGAAACAGAAAGAGAAAATTGTAACTGGATGACGAGTTCAAGTATGGGAAGGCTGTGAGGGCTTTATTGCTGGAGGAGTCAAGTGGCAATCTTGCTTTAAGAAGGCAACTTGAAAAATGCATGAACTAGCTAGCAAAGCACTATAAAAAGCAGGGGAGAATAAGTAGCTGTGTGGAAAAACAACGATCACCCAAGACATAAGATGTGCCATAAGAGGAGAGTATTTCAAAGGCTCTGATCCTTATGATGTCTATGAAAAGAATCCTATTGGTTTTAGGAGACTTTTACTTGGGTTCAAAGAGAATTCAAACACAGGAATGCTGTTTCTGCTGTAGAGAACGATGACTTGAGCAGCACTGATGTTTTGGATAAGGATTCTTTCAAATCTCAGTTTAAAACAATCAAATTGACAATCAGACAAAACACAGAAATGGCAAGCAGGAGCTAAATAATTCTGGAGGTAGAATAAGATTAATGAGGAAGTAAATACAGCAGAGACCCTTATCTGACATGACTAACTGTGAATTTAAAAAAAATACTAAGGGAGGAAAGAGCGTGTGCATGTGGGAAGCATACAGGAAAACCAGAAGATAACCTTTTGAGAGTGTAAGTCTGGAATACTCCTAAGATCGATGCAGGGAGACTTGTCACAGAAACAAAATGAAGCATTTCAGAAGGAAAAAAGGGCATTTTTTGAAAAATTATTCTTCATGGATGTAGTAGATAAACCATGGAATTGAATGAGGTTCTACTAAAACATTGCAGGAGGAGAAAAAACAGGCGGGGGGCAGGGAAAGGCAGGATGTTATCATGGAGATGTCATCAACTAGAGCCCTGAACAGCAATGGATTAACAATGTCTTCTCCATAGCTATACACCAACAAGCTTTAAACAAGTGCTCAGATCACCAAACAGGAATTCCTGCATGCAAATTACTGTCCCCTTTTGACATTAAGTAGCAACTTCAGAAGAAGCTCACGTTTAGGAAAGCAGTTAAGGCAGTGAAGTTTATGCTGTGGTTAGAAACGATTCAAGTCTAGGATTCCTAGTAAAGTTTGCTGAACTAGCCCTGGAATCTGTCTAGGACTGCCAGGAGTTCGGAATTGGAGAACCGTATCTGTCTGAGAAGCAGCATCTTTTGAATGCAGCCCAGGCACATCCCATCCCTTTGTGGATATCCTGAGTGCACGTGTCTGGGGAAAACATGCTGGGAAGAAAACAGCAAGCTGACGATGTTGAAGAGGGTTAGAATCTAGAATGGTACAAAAATGCAACTGTTCCTTTTGTGTTCACAGACCAAAGGGTGCAGAAGTTGTCCTCCTGGCTGTGGCTGGCCATTTGAAGTACCACTGTGCAGTTTAAACATGCATCTATACAATAATTAGAAATTAGCAGAATAATACTAGATGCAAAATGAATTAAATTAGTAATAACAAGCTAAAGGAAAAGCTCTGTAAGCCACATTTCAAAAGAGGGGTTTGGAATAAAGATAAGCTCTTCCCACTGTACAAAGGTCCCATACAACTTGTACTTTACAACAGATTTTATTTTCTGCATACAAGATGCATGTGCTTAACATTACGTATGTTTTCAGAGGCAAATACAGACAAACTAGAAAAAGGACTACTAGACCCTTCTGTTACTCCAAGTATGTTCATTCCTCAGAAGAAGGAATATAAATAAAAAATATAAAGCAAAGATGTTTTAACTCTTAATTAAGGAAAGGAACATAGTCTAATAGTTATAGCATGAACCTAGTGGTTGAGAGGACAGAGGTGTCACAGTATGACCTTCTGCAAGTCACCGTGACATTTAAGAATATTTGATGAACAGAGTTCTACATATTGGACACTTAGCTGTTATATGTGAAATAGGTGAGATATTTTTTAGGATTTAATGAAGTAGCTACTGCCAGTGAAATGCATTATTAGGCAACAGAGAACTGTCCTTGCAGACATAGTGTGACCATGCTACATTCAGAAAGATTATTAACTTAGGGTTAAATTGTCAAGTTAAAAACATCAGCCTTGCATAACAAGCAATTCATAGCTGTATTTCCTAATTGCAAACCAGTGCACAAACTGTATCTCAGTAAAAAGCCCTCTCGTTATTTCCCCTTGGCTCTGAACAGGTAATTAGGTACTGAGTACTTTGGGTAATCAGGTACTTTGGCAGCACTCCTGTTTCCTCGAGGGATAGCTCCAAAAATGAATCACCCTCTGCCATTAACCCTTCATGTCTTCCCCACCTGTTTGTTCAATGCCCGTGCATTTCCCTTCTACTTACTCACCTTATTGCCACTGCAGGTTAAGCAAAGATGATGATCTGTTCCCTTTTGCAACAAAGGGACTGTTAGCTTCTACTATGCAAAGTGCTCTGGGTATACTTATGAGAGTTTTTAATAACAGCAGCTAGTGTAAGTATCATAGTGGAACTACCCAGTTTTTCCTGCTTATGAAAAGATACTGAAGTCATCTGGAAAATTTTTTTCTTACTATGGGACAAATTACTCAGCTCCCCTTTAGCAGTAAATTTTGCTGTGACATATCCCAGAATGCAAGCTACAGTGGTTTTAGATAGAGATCAGTATGCAGGACAAATTAGCCAAAGCCTGGACAGCTATAATAAACAAGAATCCTTATGTGGATTTGCTGACTAAGCAGCACCTTCCCAAATAGAACTGGCAACCATTCAACCTGCTGCTGTTGTGAAGAAACTTCTTACGGGTTGGCTTTTTTTAAGAATGGATTTTTATTGACTTTCCAGATGACATTACTAATCCACATAAACAGGATTTTTACTTTGCACATAATAGAAAGTGTAAACAGGAATCTGAGCAGCAGTACATGCTCACGTCTTCAATGGTGACCCAGCACTCGCCTTCTAAAAAAAAGTCCTGTTGTTTTCAATTTGCATTTCCATTCTGGACCATTTGTAGATACTCCTTGTATAGCTTCTCTTGGGTTTCATAAAGTTTCTTTAGTTTCTTAATTTGTCCTTTGCTGAGTTCTTTGCCTTCTGTATCATGGGTAGGAAATCCCTGAAATATATAAAAAAAAATACTATAAATTCTTAAGGAGATTCCTCATGGAATAGTGTTTTAATAAGATAGGGGGATAATACCATAATGACAAGCTGTTAGGATGGGGTTGCATCTTGGCTAATTTTAGTCACTGAAAAGTTTGACAACCAATTGACTATCCGTGTATGTTCCCTTCCTAGTTAATGATGGGACAAACGGTGTATTTCTTTTCTGTTCTGTATGAAGTAAGGGATGCTTAGACAACTAACTTCTAGATGGTTATAGTTAAGAGAATAATGACTAATCCTCCCTAAAGAGAGGGTTAAGAGACCACTTTTAATCACACTAGCATATTGAATCCAAGGCTTAAAGCAAAGGCAGTAAAAGATTGTGTTCTCGATGGAAAAAAGTAAGTGTTTTTATGGACATTATCCTTGGCTTGTGGGGCTATTTTCCAGTATTTACACTCTCCATTCAAGAGCAAAGTTATCTGTACAGCCCCTTCACAGATCCTTTGCTAGGAGAGAGCAGAACAGTGGGCAGATTGAAAAAGGAAGCATAGGACCTCTCTAAAAATCATGGCAGTTTCCATCAGTTCTGGCAGAGTTGGGGAGTTTGTTCTTGCAAGTGAACTCCTTGCCTTGCAACAGGGTAATAAAGCTGTGAACACACATCATACATGTTCCGACTCACAATATCTAGACAGAATTTCGGTCTGCAATGAGAGGGACCAAAGGAGACCAATGTACAATGAAAATACCCTTGAAAAGATGGCTAAGAGAGAGCCTTGCTCCCCAAAGCGAGGTATGTGCAATAAATTTAATGTATCGCCTTTTCTTTCTGCCCACTATGTTGTTAAGAGCACTGTCCTGGAGATTTTGAAACAAGATCAGTATGTACAGCTAGGGAAGGAAAACCAGTTCATATCTAAAGAAAAGTATCTTACATTTTCATCAAACATGGAATATTTGTCATGTTCGGATTTAAACATTTCATGTGGTGGAATCTTCATTTTTGCCAGTTTTGCAGCCTGTAAAATAAAACATGCATTAACTGCATTAGCATCACAGTTAATTACTGACAACCTGTCAGTAATAGGCAAAAGGAAAAGTAGAGTATAATTTGCAAATCAAAAGTCACTTAATTCACAATTGTTTATCATGTGAAAAGAAACTTCCAGTGAGGAACACCTGAGTAAGCCTTCCCTGTTCTTGTCCAGGGGAATAATACGTTTTATATCTGTAGAGAACCACTTAATAAAATAGATATATTACGATAACTCAAAATAACTTGCTCATATACTCCAAAAACTACCCCTGATTTTTGCTCATTTGGTTCCTTCGTGTTTTAGGTGTAAACACTAAGTGAATAGTTACTATGAGTAAAGAATATTTAGCAATTGCCTCACTGCAGAGGGAACCACCTTTATTTATCAACAGTTTCCTACTGACAAGCACAGGTCACAGCAGGATCAGGATGCAAGTAATTGCACTGAAAATAAACTGAACTTTCACTTATCTGTAAACATGCACATCTTTGCATCTTTTCCAAGTAATTTATGCCCAATACAAGGGAATCACCTTTTTGAAAGAATGCAAAAAGCTACTTGGAATTCATGGATGATATTATTTATCTGGTTCTCTCTCTGTACATGATGCTCCCTAAAAGTTTACTTCCTCTTTTAACCCAGAAACGCATTTCCTGTACTGTTAGAGTCATTAGCATGGCAAACAATCTTTTCTTCTTATGTGTTCATCTCCTCTGACTGTCCACTCCTTCTCCAAAGCCTAAAGCCTTCGAGCTATCTCAGTTCCAACTGTAGAAGATAAAACGCATTTTTACAAAACACTACATTTCAGAGCTCAATCCTAGCGAACATGTGGATTCTTAATGAGAATCAACCCCTCTGTTTTCACACATACCTACAACACTTGGAAGAAAATACAAGCAAAATCTAACAGGTATGTAAGACACCATAGACATCAAGGAAGTAATATTCTGTCTACAGACTAAGTGCTACAAGTTCTACGAAGCTTTTGCAGCCTTCAGTTGTGTTTTCAAAGATGGCTTCTCAATAATAGCAGCTGAATGTTCAAATCTGAACTGCAAGCCAAAGTCATTCTGAGCAGGAAATGCAGACAAAAAAATAATGCAGGCCCAGTTAAGGTCGGGCAGAGAGCCTGTGTTCTAATGTAATCTTTCCTGCATGTGACTGCTGCTACTAACACTTCTCTTCAGAAACAGATTAAAAGGATCTGAACACTTACTTCCTGCTCTTGTTTTTTCCTGGCTGCTTCTTCTTTCTTCCTTTTTTTCTCTTCTTCAATCTACAAAAAGCAATGTTAATGAGTAAAAGGTAACTAACTGCTTCATTTGGTTGTTTTCTGCAAATCTGAGCCAGCTAGCTCCCCTGGATATCTAATTACAGACAGAACTGGCAGCATGGCCTGCAGCAAAACACCTTGCCACATAATTAGGATTGTCGATACTTCCCACTGTACAACTTTGATTTCATTTGCTTATATTCACAGTTCAACCAGTTTTAACTGTTCAGAATGCATTTTGCATGCAAAGTGTATAAATATAAAAGAATACCTACAAAGCTTGCAAAAGAAATGGTCCTGCCATTGCATGGGGAAGAACGTTTTGCAAGTGACTTTAAAAAAAGTCCCTGGTATTTTAAGCTCTTCCCTCAAACTGTGAAGACATTACAGTTTCTCAAGAAGTAGTTGTATCCCTTGATGTTCCTGGGGAAACAACTATCCAAATAGAGCCAATTTCTAAAACTTAAAAAAAAATTAAAAATTAAAATCTCATCTAGCACTTGCTTAGGAAACACCTGTAAGTTCCCTAAGGGTTCTGGCAGTACTGAACATAATACTGTTTCCAGGGAAAATGTACTCTATAGCTGCAGGTTCCACCCAGCAGCTACACACAAACTGCCTTCAAATGTCTTTTTCATTAAAATACCTGGAATTCTGACTGAAGCTACATTTTACTTCTCGTTTTTCTAAAAAACATCCCCATGGAAGGAGAACTGTTGGAAAGTCTTACAAAAATTCCTCGTCATCATGGTGTCTTATTATTTGTTAAAAGTGAAGACAGACATATGAAGTGTTACTTTTAAATGTTACAAAGTCAAATATTAATGCAAGGAAGTGCCAAAAGGAGGGTTTCTGTACAGAACTTGTGTATGTGAATTAGAATCCACAATCTTTATATAGTAACATGTGAATTCTTGCCCCCACACTCTGAATATCTCACTCATCCACACTACCTTAATTAAAATTTTGCCCGCGCATTTTGTTCTCACATATCAGATAAATACAGTCTAGTTCTGTGGAAAATCTCAGCTTCATTTTCTCAGAGAAAAGAAGTTCAAATTAGCTTCCCATTGGAATCGTTCTTCCAGAGAGACAGGACAGTGTGCATGCAGTACTCAACATCCCTTAGTTTTATGATGACCTTAAAAACCCCACAAAAAATGCTGGAGGTATTCATTAGGTCCCAGACAAAATTTTAAAGAAGCTACTGTTTCAAAAATTCTTTTCCTGAACGCACTCAAATTTTAGTATCAATTCTCTTACATTATTTTCCTTGTTGCTAGTCTGTTAAAATTTTTCTTACAAGTTATCAAAGAAATGTAAAACTACTCATAGCTTACAGATTACTTTAAATTTTAAAAATATAGAACGCTTAAAATAATAACCTTTTTCTTTTCTTCTCTTTCTTTCAATAATGTGTCCTTATCCACTAATTTAACCACAGTTGGAAGTCCTAAAGAAGCAAAAACAGATGAATAAGTTTCCAATGCTTGAATAGTCAAAGATAAATGTATTTACCCTATGATAACTGATTTCTTTTTGCAAGCTGAATGCAAATACAACCAAAAAACTAGTCAAAAGTGATGAAACAATTAGGTGCTATAGAAAAAGATCAAAAAGATTGCAATGTATATTTTTATATTCTATACCTATATTCCAATATACAGTTCTATAATATATATTTATACATCAGATATATGATATGCTACAGCATAACAGTCTGAGTTCGTAGGATTATTCCAGATTAGTCTTGACAGATGGTTTTCCCACTTCTTATAAAAACAGTAAGATTATAAAAACAGCTACCTACAAAGTTGCAAGACATATAATTGGGTACCTTCATGATCTTCAAATCGAACACCAAGCTCAGGAAGGATGTCATCTCGAAGAGCATCACTCAACTGCAGCACTTCAGTTACTACGAGTGTGAAAAATACTTTTAGTGAAGTAAGATTTGGTGAAAGTATACTTCTATTCAACTACATATTTAAATCCAGTTAAGGAATTGCCACTCTTTCACATGCTACAAAAAGGTCTTTCGTTTTAAAGTTATAAGCCTTTAAAGTAAGTTCTGCCTTCTTTGAGCTACACAGAGAGGAAGCATGTGTCTTTGCAGGGACTTGAAATTCACAGATTTCTTCCAAGACACCCTCATTGTTCCTGAAGGCGAACAGAAAGAAAATCCAAGGCAATTCAGAACTGATGCAACAATTCAGCCATGATATAGTGGAAGGGTGTGTGAATCAGGAAGACACTAATGGTTCCTGCAGAATTTCCAATAAGGATTTAGAACCCTATTTTAGAAAAATCACAAATTAACGTATTCTGTGCTACATCTGACAGTGCCTTTGAAGGACTACGATTTTGTTGGTTTGATAACTACACATGCATTTGTCAGAGCAACTATAATCCAGCCATCCTCTGTTTCTACAGATAGTTATCTCTACCACATGGCTGTTTTTTTCAAGCAAGCCAGCTGCAGCAAAACAGAGAATTTTGATTTGGCTTTCTGGATGGTGATCAGGACAGCATGACTAACTTGGTTTTTTCCTTTGCAAACTTATCAAAGAGCCTTTGATGACAGCAAATGGTTAAGAACTCAAGATTTAGCTGAAATAGATGCTATCAGGTCTTAAGAGGAAAATAAATCTTCATACAAGATATTTACTTGGATATTTATCAGCTGAAAAGCAGTAGAACAGTTAAGAAGAGCTAAATGCATCAAGAAGACTCAGCATGTTGCTGTTGTGAACTTAATTCAGTGGCATTTTTATAGACAGCCCTGTATTTAGGAGGAAACACGAAGCGTGACAAGATAGATACTTGGGTTAGATGATACCATGGGCTTATAATAACTGCTCTCCCTTTCAACAACACTTAGCCAGTTAAACCCAAAAAGTAACAGGGGTCTCAAATGTAATAACTCCGGCAGTAAAAGCTACCATCTGACTATACTAAACACTGCATGTATCAGTAGATACAAGTACCAACCCTGAGCCTTCACCTCTTCTGTAAGTCTCAGAGCCTCAGAGAGCTGAACAGTGAACAGAGCACCAACTATCCTAATACCACAAAAAGGAACAGCTACCCTGTGACATTGCATGGCAGTGTTCTGCAACTCTCTCTTTGTATAGGAAACCATTGCAGTTTATAGAAGCTCTTTTGTCTGCCGTGAACTAAGTAGCTATTTTTCTTGATCCAGAGCAGTTATACATAGTGAACCACATTCCTGTTTGATGCAATTCTAAATAAGCCATTAAGATAAACAAGGCATAAGATTACCTCACTGGCTGTTAACAGTAAAACATGGGTGTTGACTCTAACCCAGGCAAAGGCATTACACATAGCATATCAAGAATATATCAGATACATTTACTCTTATTCAATAAAACAGCATCTGCTCGGTTATAAATATTTACTTATTTGAAATAATGAATAATTGAAAGTTTAGGAAGAGGAAATCCATCAAGGAAGAGAATAAGGAGACATGTATTATCTATGAAAGGACACAGCTCTGATCAAACCTCTGTCATCTGGAGGAGTCAGCACCATTCTTCTCAGGACTTAAATGTGCCTGTTCTTTGCATATGGCACCTCCAGAACAAAGATGTTTAGGGCTTGGGTAGGGGGTTATTCATGGACTGCCCCAAGACACAAGCCATTATCCTCACTGAGGACAGTGACCAAGAAACCAGTGGGATGGTGCCTTAACACCAGTGCTCATGAACACCCTGGCAGCTAGGCACTCCTCGAGCCTGTGACTGTTTCCCAGACCTCTTTTCACATTTCCTGTGGATTTCAAGCCAGAGTCTCAGATGTGAAACAGATGTTGTGCTGTTATGAATGGGAACGCTGTGATGGGAAAAGAAGGAGCTTAAAAAGCATCTTGAGAATGCTGGATGTTAAGACTGGCAGCAAAAGACAAGAGCAGGCATGGTTACAATGATCAAGTTTGTCCCAGTTCTGCTCAACTCATGATACATTAGAAAAAGGGCAGAGGGTTTCCCACTGTGTCCTAGAAGCAGCTTAGAGCAAGATACCACATGGTAGCAGCACCCACGGCAGGAATGAAGATGCAGGCAGAGTTCAGTCATGGATACCTTCACCACAGGCAAGTCAGTTTAAGCAGATGTCCTGAGGTAAGCAACCAACAACGACTGAAGAGACTTGCTCCTGTTTGAACATCTGAATAACTAGTATCTGCTAATCAAAATTCTTTCTAAGCACTGGATGTTGCTTAGAAGACAGATATGCTCCACTGTGCATCCCTGCAGAGACAACTATACAGGGGTCTTTGCAGTTGGTCGAGTACTCACTTGAAACATCAGGATGGACAATACAGAGATGCTCTGACCAGCCAATCACTGATACCTTTTGCAGAGATTTTCTGCATTTCTTTCCCTTGTACGGCTAGCACAGTGTTTTCCTCTTTCTGTTTACTACCATTGCTAGATATGTTCACAAATTAAGTCAAGACTCAACTGCAAATGATCAGTGCAGGGCTCCCATTTGAATAGTAATAAGCTCATAAAATAAAGTATTCTACAAATATGCTTTCATGTTAGTCATTCTGGATGATGGCAAAATTACTGTAGATTATATACATTTTGATTTTACCAAAAACCATTTTACAAATGACTATTCTGTGAAATGATTTGTAAAAATAGATAAATTTTTAAAAGTTGTATGTATGTGGATGGAGACATTTGTATGACTCTGCAGGTTTTACAGAAGCAGAATACTTTTTATTTAACCTCTAGGAATACTTAAAGCAACACAGATCATGTTAATTAGCACTTAACACCATCCTGCCAGCATGAGGCTGTGAAGGGGAAACTCCCTTCACTTACAGCCATGTAGAGGCAATATCCCCAGCCATTATTCAGAAGAACTTTTACAGTAATTTAATGCTTCCTGCAAGCAAGAATTTAATGGGTTCAGGGAAACAAATCAGTAGCGTGTCAGTGCATGTCCTGCCAACCACCACTCAGCTCCCATATATCAAATAGTTTAATGAAAGGAGCCTCCCTGGTCAAATTGCAGAGTGCGCTGTACTCCAATGAAATAAAAACTAGACCCAGCTTTATTATTACTGCCCAGTTTATTTCACACCAAAAAAATCACTATCTTCCAAGTAACAAACTCAAGTGCCAGTAAGCAGTCTAGCGCTAAGTGCATTCTAAAAATGATCTACAAGGAGCCCCATGATATTTAAACCTTACCACTATAAAGAGTGAGGATCAGTTTATCTCAACCATCAGAAAGCAAGGGGGAAAAAAGCCTCATATAAAATGACTATTTACATTAAATACTGAAAGACCAAAGTTCACAGTTTTGGCTGAGGACATCCACACAAACTTCTTGAATTAATTAAAATTACAGAAAATATTTGCTATTGTACCTAATAAGCCTATTTCTCTATTATGCCTATAGGGGTTTGAAAGTAATAGCCAAGTAGTCATGTTATCAAATACAGTTTTGTACTTTTAAGCTAAACTTCTTGTCCTTAGAAGAACTCAAAACAGTAGCAGAATTAGGGTTCAGATTCTTTGCCAGCTGAATAGGTTATCAACCAGACACTGCAAGTAATTTTATATTTCTTTATAATATATGAGTCATTTATAGGTATGTTTTATATATCCATAAAATGCCCTATTTTACCTTCAAGTACAAACCTGAGTGTAAAAAAATTTTAAGAACACAAGAATCAAGAACATATTGAAGACATGTAAAATTCCACAGGGAACATCAGAGAATAGCAAGAGCTCCATTAGGAACTAATCAGCCACTAAAATCAAGGAGGACTTAATGGAACAACGTTTTTAACACTATATAGTTCTGCTGCCAACACACACAGTGTGATCAAAGCTTTTCGGAAGGAAAAAAACAACTTGTAGCAAGCTCTCTGATGAATTCTCCAAAGAGAGCACACTCAATTATCATCAGGGGAGCTACAATTCCAACTATGCTAATAAATAAGAACAAACATCTCAGGCTATTTAAACACAGACAGTATAATTGTCTGGCAATCTACACTTAAGAGAACGTGAGCTCCCTGGGGGAAGAGATCATGGGTACTTTCATGCCTAGAAAGCAGGGAGTGCCCTAACCTAGAGAAACAACAGCTAATCCTCCTCATTCCAGAGCTTTTAGATTCCTTAGGAAATTAAAAGACAATGAGTTTAGCAGCCTGTAAAAGATTCTCAAATTAGAGGCAGGTAGCAGAGATGCAAATATTCAAACCAGCTCTGATTTAAAGATGCCTTACTTTTATTCTCTAAGCAGAGACGGTATCTGCTGGCTCACCCCCCCGCCCCCAGTTTGATTTCTATGCCCTCCGAGTCTCATGTGCAACAATATAGGAAAAAGTGAACACTCACCTTTCTTCTCTCTTGCAATTTGTCGCACTCCTTCTCTGAACTCAGAAAGTACTTGTAGGTAAGGCATCACTGTAGATTCAATCTGCAGAACAATTATTTCTACAGTTAGCTAATCATCATTAAGTTATAAAACATGTCTTTACCCACTTCATATTTATGTGCTGTTGGATGGAACTTGACCCTCAAGGCAGATCTGTATCAATAAAAATTGTCCTCGCTCTATTGATGCCAAGGATAGATGATAATTTGCACCAGCTGTCAATTTTCCTTTTGTGCAGATAAATCAACTAGAAGTTCTGCCTCTTCCCATTCCTTTTTCATCTCCTTTCAGTTACAAATACCTTGGTTCCACAAGGTTGTGCTACAGTCCAGCTAACTATAATGCAGTACAAGGATAAAAAGAGCACCCAGATGAATTTGCCCCTTCATATTCTGTGTTGTCTTACTTAGGTCCAACTGCTTGTCAGACATAATACCAGGTGAAATTGATGTTAGACTTATTTTCATTAAACCTAGATCTGTTCCTCAGATGTTAGCTTATGCTAATTGTATTTTTTTCCAATACAGTGCAGCTATCTGTATTCCTCACACAACTCTCTCCTCCACAAAAAGTGGGGAGAGATTACTGCTGAATTATTTTAGGTGTAATTAAATGCTGGTCAAGAAAGCTCAAAGAAAAAGTCCTGAGAATCCTGCTCTCAATGGTAGTGAGCAGCAACAGCAAGCAGTTAGTGCACAGCAGCGAATAATTACAGTAACAACTACAGATCAGCGCTGTCTGCCAACACTTCTCTGGAATCCCCAAAGGAGAAGCCAGGCACCATGGGGACTGCTTAAATTAAAAGTTTCATTACGTTGGAGGGTGGAGGAGAGACAGGAAAAAATGCACACTTTTGTTTCCCCTGCAGTTTCCATGTATATTTTCCATCTGTTAAATCTCCATTAGAAATTTCTGTGCAGTTAACAGATGAGATAGTATGTTATGCTCTAAAAGAGCCCATATGAAAGGAGCTGAGAGGCTCCGTTAAAACTTTTCATAAATGTGAATACTATGCAATCAGCTTCACAACTGGAACCATTGCTGGCAAGTTTGGCAGAAAGAAAAGACTGAAAAGTAAACAACAGTCACATCTCCACTACCCCCTCCACACTGGCACTAGCTCAACACGCAAATGCAGTGGTGTCAGCAAAGCATGCACTGCACTACTTTATCAGTCATTAAAAAATAAAAGATTTTTATTTCCAGAAAAAAATAACTTGACAGCAATGCTTAATTCTTCTGTAAAATGAGACTATGGAACTTAAGGTTTTCTGTCTTCACATCTCTTCTGTCCTCTATCAAATTACTGAACCACAGTAATTAAGCCAGTTGTTCTTTCAGAGCTTTTGAGGAGGATTATGCCTTTTTTGGAGATAATGACTCTATTGGTTCCTACATCTCCAATTCAGACAAAGAAACAAGTGGCCTAATCCACAGCCTTCTGTAATTAATGAGAAATTTTCTACTTTGAATGTTCACCTGGTAATTTTTGCTAAGAAACATAAGAATGTGCATGGAAGATTGAAAGAGGGTATAATATTTAAAGAAACAGCCAAAACATGTGTGGTATTATACATCTTTATACTACAATGCTAAAACCAGTAGTGTCTTCGGTGATAAAAACAGAAGTTTCTTGTGTTTAACAGGCGTTAGCACAAGACTTTTCCGATAACTTGTGCTAACGTGGTAGCACAGGATTCCTTCTTCACAAGATTATCCTGACTCTACTACCCTTGGCAACATCACTTTGAAGGAGCGTAACTTCTTGTTCCAAGCTATTGCCAATCCTTCCACAAGGCACATCAGTTGTAAACAGTGCCTGAATTAAGTGCTAAATATGAATTTAATTTCCATTTTCCCTAAAAAGGTCCTGCCTTTCTTCTGAAATTCAAAATAACTCTTAGCTAAGTTAAAAATCCCTACTGATGAGGTTTGGTGTGGAATACTGAGCACTTTCCTCATTATGCTTGTTACATCATGACTCAAGATTTCCACAGCACAGTAATGTCAGTATTTGCATGGGCAAGTATCAGATGAGTGTTCATTCATATTCTTCAACCACACACAAGCTTTTCTCTTCCTTTGATGAATAAAAAGCTTAGCTTTTTGGTTACACTACAAATGTTTTAATTATTCCTATCAAGAACAGAAAAACATGGCCACACATTTGAATATAGAAAAATACTTGAGAAACAGCACTGATTTGTACCTGTCAAATTTTTTGCATGAACAGAGAGAGCAAAGCTGATAGCTTTCATATGGAGTTATTTCTCCTGCCAGCACCACGAAACATCACTGTCATTACAGAGCCCATCAGCTCTTTCATCAGGTGTCTCTCAAATGTTTCCAGAAAAATTCTGCACCACAGCGGAACTCTGCTAGGTGACCAAAGCAAAACAGCCTTCAAAAGCCAGATAAAAACTGCGGCTACAAATGAGATCAGAGAAAGAGATTGAAATGCGGATAAAACTCCGGCTGCCTCAGGCTGGTTTTTGGTGTACCACAAGGAAGTTTAATCAGTATAATTATATTTTTGAAACTGCTTAACATAGAAATACTTGTAATGAATCTTTAGACTGTAGCATGTGCTGTCTGTAGTTAACATGTGGTTTCTTAAACAGACTCATAATTCAGAAGATGATTCTTCTTCTGGTTGCTACACAATTTGTCTGTCATTAAGTCAAACAAACCTATAAAAAACCCCAACTCTCATAAAAGAAAAATCCTGTTTCCTAAGCTAATTAATTACTTCAGATTCAAATGTTAAAAGCAGAAAGAACATAATATGGCTACGTATCAGTAATGTAATCATTTTATCTACTCCAAGCTTTCAAAGCTCACAGAATACTTTAGTATAATGTACTTTGTCCTTCACTTACATTTATGTTTTGACTATTCCCTCCAACAGGAAAACCAATTGTGTCGTCACTTTCTATGGCACCAAAAATCTGGTCAAGGGAAAAAGATAAAAAATTGTATACATCAAGTCACAGGTATGTGAAAACTAAGCACAATTACTGGGGTTTTGAAGCCACATAATTCTCATTTAACCCACAATTCACTGCTCTAGTAAGAGGATGTTCTGGTTTTTAATTGATAAAGCATACTCAGCATTGGCTTTCAGATGTAGCTTTAAAACTGTCAGATTTGACATTCTGACTTCACATTTTTTATACTATCTAATTTTCTTTGCATGTATTAGGGGCTCTCCACTATTCAACAAAACATTAGCTGAAATTATAATGTAACAGGCAGGACTTCAAATTGTTCCTGCTGCAGCACACACTGCAATTCGGGGTTGTTTTGGCTGAGGTGTATGTCGAAGATCTCTAGTTTTCCACAAGGTTTAAACCAAGACAGTTCAGATCCCCACATACTTGAAAAATACAACAGTTACAAATGCACAGTGCAATAGCAACTTGCTGTTACATACCTTTAGCATTTCAGTGAGATAGGAACTGATGTTTTCTAAAAGAAGTCTGTTTGGCATTTGTCTGGAAGATTTCTTTGCAGCAATATAGGAGTTACTCTGACTGACTAATGATCGCATCTCTTCTAAGACAGAGCGAGTGTCAATATTGTCACACAGTGCTTCATGAACTGCTGCCTTCTTGTCGTAAAAACTAAGAAGAAAAAGACTTTTTTTTACTGTTGATGTCAAAAGTATCTGCAACCTACTCTGAAAAACTTTTGTTAGAAGAGCAAGGGGACCTAAACATGAGATAATTTATATTTAAAGGAAAAACAGATGAGGGAGAAAAACGCATTATCACAATGCTGCTTTTTTTGCTGCTACAGGCAAAGCCAGGCAGGAAAACTTAATTGGCAACTATCCAAATAAATGACATGTGTCAGTTTTTAAAAGCAGTATAAATTGCTTATTTAGTACCTTCATGTGCTTACTGTTTTTTTACAGTATTGCTCTTCTATCCCTATGTACCAGCTTAGTTCTCTGTATCTGTCCAGCAAGAAGCACCAGTTTGAAAGTTAACTTACCACAAAGTGAAGTGTTATGAAGGTGTTACAAGCAGATACAAGAAATAAATTCATGTGAACCTTTGTAATGTTCATGAATCAGCTTAATACATAATACAGTGTATCAAGTACCATTTCATCATGCAAGGGGTACTGTTTCAAACAACATACTTTTTGCAGAGAAAAGAGAAGTGGTAGAGAAAGGAGACAAAAACAAATACCCATAAACCATATAGAATCATAGAATGTACTGGGTTGGAAGGGACCTTTAAAGACCATCTGGTCCACCCTCCCCTGCAGTCAGCAGGGACAATGTTACCAGATCAGGTTGCTCAGAGCCACATCAAGGCTGACCTGGGATGGTCAGGGATGGGGCCTCCACCACCTCTCTGGGCAACCTGTTCCAGTGATCCATCACCCTCATATTGAAGAGCTTTCTCCTAATATCCAGCCTAAATCTACCCTTTTCTAGGTTAAAAACATTACCCCTCCTAATGCTACATGCCTTAGTGAACAGCCTCTTCCCCAGATTTCTTATAGGCACCTTTCAGGTACTGAAAGGTCGCTATTAGGTCCCCCCCAGAGCCTTCTCTTCTCCAGGCTGAACAACCCCAACTCTCTCAGCCTGTCTTCGTAGGAGAGATGCTCCAGCCCTTTCATCATCTTTGCGGCCTTCCTCTTCACATGCTCCAGCACTTCAATGTCCTTTTTGTGCTGGGGGCTCCAAAGTTGGATGCAGTACTCCAGGTGAGGTCTCACCAGAGCACTGTTTTGATGCAGCCCAGGACACAATTGGCCTTCTGGGCTGCAGATGCACATTGATGGCTCATGTCCAGCCTCTCATCCACTAGTACCCCCAAGTCCTTTTCCTCAGGGCTGCTTTCCAGCACATCATCTCCTAGCCTGTATTGATAATGAGGAGTGCAGGACCCTGCACTTGGCCTTGTTGAACCTCATGAGGTTCACCTCAGCCCAATTCTCCAGCTTGTCCAGGTCCCTCTGGATGGCCCTTTTCTGTTCCTCCCACTCCTTTGGCCCTTCCCTTTGACATCTCTATCACTTATCTTCCTCCTTTTTAAAAAGTGATTATGTCTACAAATCTCAAGTTGAAGATGAAATTGCCAGAGGACAACACTAAACAGAAGCATCTGCACTTTGTCCTTCAATAGTCAACACCTCTGTCCACAAGAGTGAACCAAGCTAGGAGCAATTTTAGTACTGCAACATAAGATGCTTCTATTTTAAATTTCACTCATAATAGAAGTCACATAGAATGCTGTTACTACAAACAACAACATAGTTTTGTTTTAAAAGTGAAAGACTGCAATACTGCTAACACCGTCTCTCTCAATAACACATTTTCAAACATTAGCACTCTGATCTTTTGTGCTTCTAAGTCAGGTCATTTAACTTCTGTTTGTCTTAGTTTGCTCACTACACTTTGAAATGTGTAAAATACTATTTTTCCAGTTGTAACCACTGGGAATTATCAGTCACTTCTCAGACAGAAGGACAGCATTTCAAGTAGTGAAGAAAATGACATCTATCTAACAAAAGTTATCTAATAAAAACAGGTTCTCCTTTCCTTCACAAACAGGGGAATGAGGCTTGCCAGTGTATTTAACAGAAATTAAAGGGAAATCAACAATTTCATCTATACTTCATAAAGCTGTTGCAAGATTAAATTCACTAGCTTTATAAAGTTGGGATACTCTGTGGAAATGCTACAGATTTACAGATATCACTGTATAAAGAGTAAGTCATTTTGCAAGGAATAAAAAACTCCAAACATGGGGCTACACAGTGGCTATTCACAGAGGAGTAGGAACGCTCCACTCACATTTTGTTCAGCTCTGCTTCCTGATTTTCCCATTTCTGAAACTGGCCTGTCACATCAGTGGGAGCTCGAAGAATATCCTTCACATTTAAAAAGAACTCCTATAAAAGAAAAATACAGCTAAAAATCAGTTTAAATTAGACACAACTGAGACTTACTACCACAAGGCATTATTTCTTAATTAGCCTCCTAAAGTTTGTGGTTTCAACACTGTTTCAGCCAGGATCTACTAAATGTCTGACAAGGAAATCCACACATTTCGCATAACTCTGTAAAGCACAATTGGACTGTAATTCAGTGCCATCTCTTGGCTCTGACACTGCATGATACCCTATCGATACTCTAAAACCAAGCCACTCAAATACAATACTACTTTTAAAAGTTTATGCAAGAGCTCTCATGGCAGATTTTGAAGTGTGCTGCTGGCAATGGAAGCTGAAGGATGGCTTCACAATGAGGCCCTATTTTATGTGGGCGTCCAGCTTGGTGAAAAGTAATTTTCACTTATTCTGTGGCCTAAATGAAATATCCTACATAAAAAGCCGAATAGCTTCAACTGGAGAGACCAAGATCAATGATCTCAAAATGCTGTACAGCCTCCTTACAAGAAACCTGGATTTAAATTACAGCTCCAAACTAAGGAAGGAAATTAACTGTGCCTGACACCTCATAAATGCCTGCAAGGCACAGAGGCATATGCGTGATATATGTGGTGCAGAGACAAGGTAGGAATGATACTTCCTCTTCCCCTTTGGCTATATTTGTATAAAGTCTGATCTGATAGACATGGTATGAGAGTATCTGTTGGACTGAGTCCTATAAGCAAGCTGAACTGAGAAACTAATCTTGCATGTAAGTGCCAAGCTGCTCAGAGATGTCAAAACTTGGAGAGAGTACCCAGCTGCAGAGAAATGTGGCTGTCTCTGGAATTCACATGACTTGAATGTTCAATGGTAGCTAAACAAACACTGTGACATCCCACCTGATGAATTCATAATGTAAACTAAGTGGATATCACCTATATATCCTTGGATTCTATTCCTTGAAACACATATGACAACACAAAGCTTAGAGAGCTAGAGGAGGAACAGAAAGCTTACTTACATTCATAAACTTCTCATACTGAATAGCTGACTCCATGGTATTATTTGAATAATCCAGTGTATCCTTCCAAGAGTGCATGAGGAAAGCCAACCGTAACTGTCGTGCTGTTAGGAGTTTCAAAAGAAACAAGGAAAATAATCATCATCTAAAGCATTTTTATGGCCTCCAATACTGCAGTGGCTAAGAACATATTTTTTAATATTTTTACTATCAATACACCTACCAAAAAAGCAAGAACATTATTATCCATACAGATAATACCAGCAAGGACCAGAAGAACAAGGGAGCTGTTCTCAAGTTAGTGAAGAAGAAAGACACGTTAACTTAGCCATTTTTGGAAATTCCATTATGTGCCCGAGTAACAAAATTACCACAGTCACAACTCAAAGTACATTAAAAGCAGTCAAATTTCAAAGTAATTTTTACCTGTATGTTTCTTCAGTGCATCTTTTATGGTAATGAAATTCTTCAAAGACTTGGACATTTTGCAGCCAGCAATAGTTAAGTGGCCAGTATGCAGAAAATACCGAACCCAGTGATTGTTTTCAAAGTATGCCTGCAGCAAAACCAAAAAACACCAAAGACCCAACACTGTTTACATACATGCCATGAAGTAGGATAATTTAAAAATAAAATCCTGAGAACAAAAAGTTAGGCTTATACAAAACATACGTAAAGCATCAAAAATTAATTGATGGATTTGAGTAAGTTGCAGTCAAAGCAAAGCATGTCACTGTTTCACTGCAGAAATTAAAAGCCAGTTCACTCACCTCAGACTGTGCCAGTTCATTGTCATGGTGGGGAAAACGGAGATCAAACCCTCCTCCATGAATATCCATTGACTCTCCTAGAATGGATCCAGCCATCGCGGAACATTCAATGTGCCAACCTGGGCGACCCTGTTAAGAAAAAGACATTACTTAGCTACTGGCTAATTGTCTTCCTCTCCTGCCTATATATCATTCACTCACTGTTCTGCCTCTGAGCAGTTACGCACCTCAGGAAATGAGATAAGAGTGTTACCAAGAAAAAAAAAGATTCTCAGTCCTTAATTCATAAAAGTCCCAAATTCATAAAAGTATACTGCTAGATCTAAAGATCAAACATGGCATATACATCTGTGAAGGTCTGATTATCCCCCTTATTATTCTTTTAAAAATTACATTAGTATTTTTGATTGAAATACACATATATATATAATTACTGCAGATGAAGCCTGTAAATAAATAGAGGACAAATGACTAGCAACAGCCATCGTGAGCTTGCATGCAGACTTCTGTTTAAAAAGTATCAGACAGACAAACTGATACACATTCTAAATTATTAAATGAACATAGCAACAAAATCCACAAGTGAAGACAACATCCCCAGAATCTATACATTATTAATATGAGGTGAGGCAAACTATTTGTGTAACATGCTATTTAATAAGGTGTAGAAGATCTAAATCCTGATTATAATGTCCTTACCTTTCCCCATGGAGAGTCCCATGAGGGCTCTCCTGGCTTGGAGGATTTCCACAAGGCAAAATCATTTGGAGAATGCTTCTCACTTAAGCGATCAGCTGAGATGCTCAGGTCACCTTTCAAAAGAGAAAATGTAAATATATACATTTTATTTAAACACCACCATTATTGAGATTTTTGGCCTTGCTGTACCTCACATCAAGTGAATTAAAAAAACAAATGAAAAGAAAACCACTCAGCCTTCAAAATTCCTCATAATTAACCTTGATAATCCTTTGAGGTTTTGGTCAATGTTCGGTTGACAAGAAATTTGACAAGTATCAGCTGCACTGCTTTCTAAGTTTTGACATGAGATTCATGTACGTTCTCTCTGCAGGCACAATTCCAATATTGAAGTTACAGAAAAAGAAAGAAAGAAACAAAAAGACAGAACTACTTGTCTATGAGCATAGGGGGTTTTGTTGCTGTAACGCAGCAGAATCAATGCACTCCAAAGTTAGACAGATCCACATTAAGACTAGGATTGTCTTAATCTGCACACACAACACGACCACTGGATATTTCTTTCATCCCTAACCTCAGTTGCTGCACAGAATGGCTGGTAGTTGTTCAATACCTGTGTTTACTGTTTTATTACCATCACAGATGTGTTATGCATTATTTGCTGTTAGCTCCTCATGATCATTTAGGTGGTACTCTCATTAAAATACCTTTAAAACACAAGGAATTTGCCATTTCTGCAATACTGTCGAAGACTAAAAGTGGTTAACAATACCACATAAGAATCCAAGACTGATTAAAGACAAAACTGTCAAGGTTAAACTTGTCAACTAATTTTAATGTGCAGGCTGAAATACCTGCAATCTCAATTGTTTAGAATATCTAACATGCATTTTATAAATTATTATGCTTTTATTTACACCAACTGCAACATGCAAAACTTAGCATTTCTGCTCCCTGTAATAGTCAAAATGACATTATCTGTCAGGGTAAGGACAATCATCACAAATGAGTCAAAGCAGCTAAGCTGACAAGCAGTAACTTGCTGTATGCATACTCTTGGTTAGTTCCACTGATCACTCAGGATCGGTTCCTATTTGCAAAAGGACACAACAGTTCAACAAAAGTGACTGGTTACATGGTGGAAATGTGGAAATGGTATACATTCATGTTACCACAAAGATGGTGGTTTAAGCTAGCACCTTTCATTTCACATAGAAGATTTCAGCTATAAGGGTTTGAATTAAGAAAAAAAAATCATATCCATTTTAAGTTGCACCTCTCAGATATTACTAGTTACACCTAGTATGAGTGCCCTGATTTCACCTAGTATGAATGTTATATAAAAGCCTTTTAACAATCTTTTGATAGATTTTATGGATCGTTTGCTACTAAAACTGTACAATCTTAGCAGCAGATAACTAATGAGTCTGGTCTGTTGAGCATTTTAAGCTACTCCCTTGCTGTGACTAGACTCAAAAAATCCGTATTTAGATTTAGTTCAACAAAACAAGGTCTGCCAAGTAAAAAGAGTTCTCAGTATGAAATAAGAAGTCAAAGATTTGCCATGAAATAACCACAGCGTGGTGTGGAGAGCTTTCACCTCGTATGTGCAAGACCCAGCTCCAAGTCTTTGCTGCTTCTACTTTGAACCAGATGAACAGACAAATAACTGGACTATAGACAAAAGACTGAGCTATTCACAATTCTGACAAAATAAAACCCACAAACAAACAAATGATCCCAAAACATCCTCAAATTAATTATATTTCTTGCTGTTTTTTCAGTTAAAAGCTTTCAGGAAAGTGCTGGCTCAAGTTGCAAAACTTTGGAGAAGAAATCAACCGGGAAAGGAAGCGCAGCAGATCAACCTGCCAACTCTGACAGTAACTGTGGTCCAAATGTCAATGGAATCAATTGAAGAGGTCAGAACATCATCGGTTTAATCAGCAACTTAAGCAAATGTTATTTCCCCTTTTTACCTTCACCCTCTTGAAGAGCTTTCTGATCACCTACAGCTTCAGGAACCAACTTAGCATAGGAGTGTTTTTCACTGGAATCAAACTTCATAGTATCAAAGTATACAGATCCATTGGACACATACCTGAAAAGTTAAAGATCACTATTTAGCTAACTTTCCACCAAGATTTAACTGAATTTTATCCAAAAAAATCACTGTCTTAAACCTAAGTTTTCTAGTGTAACCACATACAGTATGGTACTGCTCAGTACTGTAAAGAGGACTTAGGTAAGCCTAAGTTTCAAGGCCTGACCATAAAGACTTCAGACAAACCACTGAAAGTCGTAATAAAACTGATCAAAGGGAAAACAACATCTTTTGTTAAACTCGTAAGAGGTGAGATGTCAGGTAACAGTCCCAAGATAAGGAATACCTACAACACTCCTCGTCCCTTTTAATATTTTGCAATAATATAATACAAATCGTGTTTGTTTCACAGTTCCTTTTGTCCTCCTTCACTATGTTAATTTTGTCCTGCTACCGCCATAATAAAAACTCTGACACAAAGTTAAGTTTCAGGACCACCAGGAATACTGATAATTCAGTGCAAACAATTTTGATATGTCCTCTTTTTTAAAAAATGTAAGTTTAAAGGAAGAACATGCAAGAGAAATTATGGCTGGCTGAACCACAGGTTTGCTTTTTTCAGAACTTAAATATAACTGTGTCAAAAAACTGAGGCTATTAACAGAAAAAGAACTCAAAACTTTCACAAGGGAATCTATCATGATACTTAGGAACGGGTATATTATCTTGATTTTCACAAATATTAGACAATGATAGGAAAACAGTTCACAATTACTTTTTTAACATATATTATTTAAAACTGATGAAACACTACTTCTGGAAAAGACTCCTATTGCTTATGAAAACAGAAAAAACAGTTCACAGTTAAGTGTTGAAAGCAACCATTCTAGCTCTGATACAGAATAATCACACAACAAAAGCATCCAGTAGCAAACTTACCCATAACCATTATCCACAATCTTTTTCACAAAATCCACAATTTCTGGCACATATTCACTAACCCGTGTTAAAACATCTGGAGGTAAAACCTATAGATAAAAAGTAGAATTCTATATATTTTTATACATGTATATAATAGATATATGCGCAAATATGCACTAAATATTTATATATTATACATTGGTTAAAAACTGGCTCAAAAGCAAGTGACAGTAGGTTCCTATTTCAAGCTTTCTGCTCTGAACAACGTGCTGTGGCCCATTTCTTCCTCAGTCTTTAAAGGCGACTTTAACAACAAACTACTGCAGGAGATGTCTGCTCTTCCAACTTACTGCACTTCTGTCAGGACAGGCAATAAGCCCCTCTGATTTCCAGGTAAATAAATAAAGCTTCACTGATCTGAACCACTGCCTATGACACAACACTGCATCCGTAACAGCCAAATCTGTCCTTGACTGTTACCATCACATAATCTCTTAGTGGCTGAAGACTGGTGCATGGTCAGTAGAAACGCTGAGGGTGGCAGGGCTCTCCTGCACAGCTATCAGACTCTACCCAACTTCTGGATCGGTTTAGGATTATAAACCCATGTTACACCAAAGGGAAGGGGTGGAGTGCACACATTAAACTCGATCACCAGTTAACTGGCTCTGGTAACATGCACAATAGATTTAAGACTGATGAGACTGAAACAGACCAGGTGCTAACTTAACAGTTACCTACTCACATTAAAGAAAATACTTAATAAGGTTGAAATATGAGCTTTTTGAAAGCTGTTAACAAGCTAAATTGTATTCTTAGTATTATGAGGCATATACACTTCTAGAACAGAAAACTGTTTGTTTACTTACATTGAGCGCTGCCATATCTTTATGAAATTCCCCTTCCCAGAATTTTGGGAGCTTTGAGAACATGGAGTTGTCAGTCACCTGACTGCCAAATTTTGTGTCCAACCAGTCAGACAGCAAATCTTTGGCTTCTTCCAATAGTATCTATAAGGCAATGATTAAAGTTCAACTGATCAAAGACTTGCCCTGTTTAAAGTCTGCAGAGAGATCTTATTCAGAACAGAGAGGTTTGCTTACGGAAAAAGACACTTGGCTATGAATACAGAATAATCTGTGCTTCTACCAGACTTTTATCATATTGCCTTTCATAAATATAGATGAAACAAACAGAAGAAGGAAGATAAACTGATAAATCATATCTGGTTTGATATTAATCACTTAAATAAGCATGTGGAATGTATGCTGTCAACATCAGGTGGGACCTGCAGTTATGTCACATCATCTGTTGTCCCCTGTTACTACAGGATAATCCTAACAGCAGCCTTGCTGTGCACATTGCTAAACAGTGTTTGAAAGACTAATTTGAACATCAGCAAGGATACATTTCAGTCATATTAAAAAGTGACTATTTTTACAATAGGCTATAGCCCAGAATCACAGAATCACAAAATAATAGAATGGTTTGGGTTGGAAGGGACCTTAAAGATCATCCAGTCCAACCTCTCACTAGACCAGGCTGTTCAAAGCCCCGTCCAACCTGGCCTTGAACACTTCCAGGGAGGGGGCATCCACAACTTCCCTGGGCAACCTGTGCCAGTGTCTCACCACCCTCACAGTAAAGAATTTCTTCCTAACATCTAGTCTAAATCTACCTTCTTCCAGTTTAAAGCCATTACCCTTTGTCCTATTGCTACCTGCCCCTGTAAAAACTCCCTCCCCAGCTTTCCTGTAGGACCCCTTCAGGTACTGGAAGGCCACAATGAGGAGTCCCCAAAGACTTGTCTTCTCCAGGCTGACACTTGGAGACCTCCAGAAGGTGTGATTGCTTAGATTTCAGTTGTTTTTTAAATTCTGTTCTGTCTGTTATATACACTTTTATAAAGGCACTCAATATTAGAATAGCTGAACACTTTTTTAAAAAGTTAATTTAGAGACTGAGTCTTCTCACACATACCCTATGCTTCCTACAGCAATTAGCACAGATATTCTGAAAGCAAGAAAGAATGAAAGTGGAAACCAGCTCCTAAAAGACAGTAGTTACATTGACTGACTTGGATAAGGGACATTATCAAAGCCAAATAAAGTCAACAGGATTATTGTCACTAAGTGTAATGGTCTTTGGACAAAAATTATCCGGAGCATAATTTTTGGGATGTATTTTCTCCTCTGATCAGTGGCGGAAACACATTTGAAAACTGCCACCAGTATTGGATGGCGATAAATGCAAGTTCAGTAATTTATACTGAAACTAACTCACCAAGACAAAAAAAGTCAAATATATACAAGAGAAAAAGTCCCATAGGAAAGGTAAAAATAACTGAGTAATTATCACAGTGAGTCAAAAAAAACCCAGTCATTGATAAAGACAGCATCCAAAAACTAAGCAGTTGAATTCAAGGATCAAAATTCCTGCACTGAATTCAAATTGCTAAGAACACCTCAAGCCCTCCATTCTTCTTTTTGTTAATAAAAAGTTCCATCATCTTTCAGGGAATTACTACAAGCTAAATATTTTATTTTACACCCCTGACAATTATAAGCCAAATATAATTCTAAAAGGAGCTCAAACTGACCTCATGACATCTGTTGATCTCTTCTGCAGGGAGTTTTGCTTGCACAGCTTCTTGTAAAGGGTCAAAAGCAGACTTCACCGCACTCTGAATTCTTTCCAACATTTGCTTTTTATCTGGATCTGTTGTCTCATTTAATTTAACTGAAAAGAGCTACAATTTTAAACAAATAAAATAACTAGAAAGCAACTCGCAGTACAGTAGTGCTATGTTCCATGCACAATAATTATTTTAGCCACACAGTACCTTGCTAGTGATGAATAATACATTATGCTACCTAAAAAGCTTTGATATCAAACTACTGAAACATATTCCTCATCAGAAATAAAGGTGAATTAAAAAAAACTTTAGTTCACATCCAAACGCAGTTTTTCAGAAAGACACTATAAATTACTACATCAGCAACAGCGCTCTTTAGTAATTTTCAGTTTCTATGCAGTTGGTCACCTTAATTACACAGTTGATTATCACAAATCTGTAAAGCAGCAGCTTTAATGTGAAACAGAGATTGAATGCTATGCTTGCAGAGTATGTCAGGCAATGATAGCTGGGCAAAATTTCCAGGCCTCCTATTCCCAGGCCTGTATTCAATTCATAAGACTGATAGTCTCTGTGATCTGTAGTTCTAAAAATGACCAGAGAATCACTTTCCCCAACCTTCAGTCCAGCATACACAATTTATTAAATCCCTAAAGGATTGGAGACTTTGTGCTCTTTCCAAGGTCATCAATGGTACAAAACAGAAATCTCACAAGTTTTAAAATACTACCGACATATCACTGTTTAAAAACTATTTTGAAGGGTTACTTTTAAAGTTTGAATTCTAACACACAAACATCCCAATGCTTTTTGAGCTTTTTCCCCAGTACCTCAACAACAATATGCATGTACTCACAAACAAGTTATATGGACATAAAAATCAAGCATGCCTTTTACATGGATAGTCCTTGTCAATTGTAAACCAATGGAAAAGTCAAAGTGATGTGCAGTTCCAGTAACATTTTTAATTTGTGTGATAGCAGTTCAATAGAATAATGGAAACAAGCAGAAAGTTTAAAGAGGTAGCAAGGTCAGAAGCATTTTTGATGCCTTGCTACATTATTGAGTAAGAACCTAAGACACTAGCAGGGATTAAATACCATGCCCACCTCTGAGGCAGTTTTAACATCTTCAAGTAGCTGATCTGGTGCTGATTTGTTCTCTCTATACCGTTCAAAAAGGTAATTTTGTCTTGCTCTCTTGATGATCTAAAAAGCAGAAATATGAAAATATTTTTGTGAAGTGACACTGTTATAAAAAGTGCAAATAAAATCTATTACAGACCAAATGCATTTCAGAACCCCTATAAATTCAACAAGCTACAGGAATTATATGCAGTAATGTAAATTAAACACACTATACATAGGTAATCAGCTACCTCAACAGAGTTAATTATCTCAACAATAGGCAAATAAAATAAGTTATCTTTGTAAAATGCTTAGTCTTCATTATTTATTACAACATTCATTTACATACAAGAATACAGGCTTTGCTACCATACGACTGCTACAAAACAGAAAAATCAGTGACCTTGTGTACAAAATGTATGTCTATGTTAATAAGTATAGGATTTATCTTGGCTTACCAAATGGCAATTATATATGACACTCTAACTCCCCTGCTCAAAGTACAGTATTTCAGATTGCAATTTTAAAAGACCTTACCTTATCATCAATATCTGTAATATTCATACAATAGAAAATGTCATATTTAAAATAATCCCTCAAGATTCTTCTCAGGATATCAAATGAGATGTATGACCTAAAAGCATAAAAGACATAAGGGTGTTTTTAGTGAACACTTGAAGTCTATTTCTATTCTATTCTATTCTATTCTATGCACAAACAAATCTCAGAGTCAATAATTTTACAACCGTTCTAATGCTCCCTCATCTACTAGTAAGCTTTTAATCACACAATGACTTAATATTATAACATGCTTTTAATCTTGCATCTCAAGCTTTGAATCTAATGAGACTATTTGCTAGTAATACACTCATCTAAATAAAGTACCTTTTCCCATTAATCTTTTGCTTCCAATAGGCACTGTTATTACCTATATGAAAATAAGGAACTGCAGTACCTGGCATGTCCCATGTGAGAAGCATCATAAACTGTTGGACCACAGCAATACCACAAGACCTTTTTTCCATTCTGAGGCTGAAATAGTTCCTTAATTGAAAAGGAAGGCACAGTTATCAGAAGAGCCTGAAGACGTGATCTCAGGCCAGTAACACCAGATTTGGAGATCAGAATGTGAAAGCATGGATTATAATTACAAAAAAAGAGAATAGAATAACTATTCCACCCCCAGTTTTACCATAATAGAAGAATCACCACTAGCTTTATCATGCAAGAGAGATAACAGGATGTGGCTGCTTATGTTATCTCTACTCTTATTAATCAAGATATCAGATTACAAAGATTTGGACTAGGCAGGGCATTACACAAGCTAGCTTGGTAAAGGGAAGGGCAGGCTTTCTTTTACATTGAAAAAGGTTACACAGTGTAATCATTTCACACATACTTGGATACAACATCTCATATAACATTGGTATTCTCGGTATTTTCTCTATTTCCCAAAGGACCTTCAAACAAGACCACAAGAAGTTTTACCAGTTTATACTCCAATAATATAATGGGTGAGACTTTTTTTTTAACACAGACATCATCTAAAGAAAGAAACTGTTTTTTTCTGTTCAGGTTGCCTACACTTATGAGTATTACAGTTGAAACTCTGGCTACTTTGCATGATAATAACTTGCAATTGGGAACTATATATTACGCAATATACAGACACCTACACACACTTGTAAGTATGTGTATATTTACTGTGTATATTATAACACTTGCCCAGCAAACAGGCTTGACTAACACAGCATCTCTGGCATCTGCTTGTTACATTCTGCAAAATACAACACAGAAACTGACTACCGACGGGGTAAACAAACAAACTTTTCATGACTTGTCTATCTGTGTTTCTATCGAAATCTCCACTTCTCTTTAATTTAATCACCTTACTGCGAGTCAGGCTGTTGTAGAGGCAGAGCCTAGAATGTTTTGTCCCTTCAGGAGGAGACCAGGGGGGCTGCACACGCTTGCCTTTACCTAGAGGAAAAAGTAGTTGAAAGAGAACTGAAAAGACACTTTCCATAGATCTGCAATATAACATTTTCTCCTTATCACATCATTACATTATTTTAAAAGAAAAAAACCCCACATAAAATCAGACAAAGCAGCTCCAGTACTAGTAATCCAACTACTTTTGTTAGAGCTCCCTACAAGCCACTGTAAATTATTTCAGTCTAGTTTATTTTCTACTCTCTACTTGCCATTCCTATTAACTTTTCATCCAAGTAACAGGAGAGAAGAGGATATAAAAGTAAAAGCATGCAATTCAGTTAAAGCATTAACAAGAGCTTTGAAATTTAATAAATCATTAATAAAGTGTCATGGCAGTCCTGGGCTTTCTGCAATGGCACTGATTTTACTGTGATGGCGTACCACGGATCTCACACAGAATATGCAAAAAATCTCCAGAGAGCAGGGTTAGTCTCCAGAGCCAATATTGACAGAGTATGTGTACTCAGGCCGAGAGGGAGGAGAGATGGAAAGGTTTAGAAAGAACCTGAGCTTTTTATCAAATGCTGTTGCTATGTACAGAAGGCATTTTCGAACACATTCATCTACCACAAATATGCTCCAATTCAGCAAGAGGCTAAGTTTTGCCATTAGAGAGAGTAGACAAAACCCAAGGTAATATTAGTGACAATATTCTTGCATTTGTTTTCTTGTAATTTTTTAAGAAGCAACACAGTTGTTAAACTCCTGTTTTTTTCAAACAAGAGTATAAGTATGGCATCTGTCGAATAGTGGCGGTTTGCTATGCACAGAGCTGCTTCCAGCTGTAATGATGTTAAACTAACAATCGCATGAACTAGGAATGAAAGCAAACCAGGAAATTAAAAAACACAGCAAGCTTAATACACACAGCTCTGTCTTCAGGAATTCTCACGGTATGCATTTTAACTGCAATTAAAATATTATACAAATTACTTGTCGTGACAGCAAAATTGCATTTATGATCCTGTGTCTCAAGGTGCTCTTCATTAACCCTGTTTCCACTAATATCTTCATATGAATATTTTGGCTGAAAACCTACAGGTAACGTAAACATTCATGGTATAAAAAATATAATCTCAACCTCAACTTCCTTTTTTGAATAACTGCCTAAGTAAGAAAGAAAGTTATTCAATGTAGCACTTTGTCTCACAAATGGACTCCATTTAATCTCCATGTGATGTATGCATGGAAATGTGTTTATTCTAAACATTTCATTGCATGAATTATTCCTGAAGAGAACACCTCAAGTTCAAGAGTAGTCTACCCATAACAACACAGACCATACACCAAGGTATGGATTTGTTTACTCTTTGATTTACAAAGATTACGCTGACATGCTTAATTGTGGCTAACGTTTCCCTAAGGGAAAGAATCCTATGTGGGTTAGTTTAATAAAAGATAAATCAGTAAAGCTTTCTTTACTTACAACCACACTAAACATAAGAAAAAACCCAGATACTGCACCCTAATGTTCTCAGCCTGCGAGTTAGGTGTCATGCTATATCCACTATATGGACACCAAGGGCAAAGAAAAAGGCATACTAGTTAGCCTGTTCAAGTAAGTCTCTGCCAGCTACAGTCTTCCCGTTGGTTGAACAGAAGTTCATTTGCTATAATCCACTCCTGGAACTCTCTGATACACCCCAAAAACCACCGATAAAATATCCAAGGCATAAGAACTGTGGCAGATTTGTGCGTCATTTTCACAGTGAACACTGCAGAACACCATTTCAGTTCTTCTTATATATATGCACAGATCATGAAGATAACAAGACATAACCCTTCAGAAAGAGAGACTTAACATTGAAGATTTCATGGACAGGAAAACAGAAACTTCTCTTATTGCTCCACCCTGAACCATGAAAGTCTACAGACAAAGTGTAGTTAGTGGCATTAAATCTGCTATCAGAGCCAGCAGTGCAGCTGAGATCCCTTCACTGCTGAAAGGAAATCAATAACCAGCACAAATGCATGCAGGCACACACAGATACAGGATCTACTTGCAGCAGTCTGACTTTAACTGCTGGTCTGCTAGGAACTGACACATGTATGATGAGAGGTTGTGAGAAGATTGCATTGGAGTAACATTAGTCAACAGCCATCAGCAAAAATGACAGACATTATGCATTCATTTGTAGGTACTGCAAGCACTATGCAACAGTTCTGTGCTATTATTATTATTTCATGACTCTCTGAGCAAGGATCTCACTATAAAGCAATTAAATTAGACTAGCTCATTGGAAAACAACTCAGGAGAGTGATGCAGCTCCCAAAAATGCCAGTACCTGTTCTTACACAATGACCTAGATTAACTGGTTAGTGTTTCCTCAAATCATCTTGAACGCCTAAATTACCAGGGTTAAACATTCTTTTTGAAATTCAGTGTTAATAATAATCATAAGATTTTTTAAAATAATAATTCAGTTTATTATGAATGTGTATATTATGCAACAACTATTTAGTTACCCTTGTAGGATTAAAAAAAAGTGAACTGAGCAAATCCTGGTATTTTAGGTAACAAGCCAAACCCCACATTCCTTTACAATCCAGCAGCCAGCTTTTTTAAAGAAAACACATATAATCAAATTCTGTACACTGAGGAATTTTAAAAATCAAAGGAATGTGGAAACAGAGCTTTAACATTCAAATAGGTCAGGATCTATCAATTACACAGTAACTGTATGTAAGAAGAATTTCATGACCTTAAACACAAGTTGATATGATCAATTTTAAAGCGTGCAAGAAAGTATGAAAGGGAACTTCTAGGAATTCTCAGCAACAAAAGTCAATACAATGTCAGCTAGTCTATAATCTGCCCACCAGTTTCATATTACTCACTTGTTTGTAGTTTACAAGGCTCATTTTTTTCACTGCTGTCATCATAGATTGCTTCTATGTGTCTGTACCACCGGACAACATGGATATACTGGTCCACAGGTGGCCTCGAAAACTTTCTGAATACCTCCACATCTGCATGTGAAAATGTGAACCCCTGGATATAACTACGAGTGCTCAGGTACTCGTTCAAAGCCTTCACCCTGGCTTCCTCTTCACTAATGCTCAGAATAAAACTGTAGTTGGAAGCTGTAAAGAGAGGCACAGGACACTTGGTCAGCATCAAAAGAAGGAGATCCCATGACCAAATTTTATCCTTATACTGTACATCTCCCCCTCTAAATTAGCTCTGGTAATTCACAAGAAATTGAGAAAAATATATTTCATAGAAGCTACTGAATAACTATCTATTTCCTATTAATAGGATTATGTTCATGCTGTGATAAGTTTTTGTGAGACATCTTTGTAAAGAGTAATAAGGACAAAAGCACAGGTCCTTTTCATGACGAAATATTATCTGCTTGAAATTGGAGAAAATTCTTCACGCACAGCAAACCTAAACAGTTGCTCTTTTCCAAGCTGCTAAAACATCCTGCAAATATTTAATACGATTAATTTTATACATTGTGGATAGGCTGTGAATACATCTCCTGAAGCTGAGCATATCCTTAAATCTTTGCAGGACTGGTGGTTGTACACAAGCTCCCAGCATGATGCTCAGTTACTCCTACTTGCTCTAAGAACTTGAAACGTAAGCTATCGCTGTATATTCCCACACTGCTCCTATACCCTGTAACACTCTCTCTTCTCAGATATATGAATAGTATTTAAAATGAGTAAGGTCTACACAAACTAACAGAACAGATATTAGATCATGCTCCTCCCTCATAATTTTTAAATTCCATTATTTATTTGGTATTCAGACAAAGCAGGTTCAATCATGTGTCATCTTTACAACTGCAGGGACATGGTGGAAGGAGCGGAAGGGTTCTGTGACTTAGCGGGGACGTTCACAGCAACAGCAAGTCCTGTGCAAGTCAGTGGGTACGACGCACGGGCGAGCACTGACGTTCAGTAAAGCCAGCATTCACATTTTCCTGAAATGACTCAATGTTTCTAACTCCATTCACATTCAAAGTACCGTAGAAGCATTAAGTCAATCTCCTGCTTAGGTAGTCAGCCAAGAAGGTAATTTAAGACACAGTGGAAGTCATAGCACAATAAAGTGAGGGAGGCAGTATGAGAACACCTGTCCCCGCTCCCAGACCCCGACAGAGACCACTACCACAAGTGTTGCTTCTTACAGGAGAATGAACATCTTCTGCACCAGTAGTTCCCAAAGCATTGGAGGTGCTCACAGCACAGTGCTCTCAAAAAGGGAAGGATGAAAGGAGATGGGGAAGCAATGGCTAGGAGAAGATGTAAGGAACTGCAGAATTGAAAAGTTTTTCCAAATATCATCAGTTAAGACTTCACGAGCAGCTCATTTTCTATGCTGAAATCAATTATTAAAATATTGTAGAGGAACTCGGGATGACAAGGACATTGAAGCTAGATACCAAGAATATTTGTGTTTGACTCTCTGGAGTAAAAATGAGATATAGCGGCATACCAGCAGAACTAATAAAAAAGATCAGTGATTAAAAAAACAATAGCAAAAGAAAAATCAAAGGTCACAGAAGATATTTAAAATTTGTACACAAAAGCAAAGTCAGATTTATCCTGTAAACTCTTAAACCTTCTCAAGGGCCATCCATGTAATTGCTCATTATAAATAAGGAATAAGAAGTAAATAATGGCTCATAACTAGACTGTAGGGGCTTGTCTTACCCACCTGAAAGGAATTCAGCTTTGGCTCACATAGTTAATTTTACTATAAACATTTCAGGTTCCTAAATATTTATTGATGTTTATCGTCACAGAACTTCACATGTTTAAACACGTTAAATAGTTTGAAATAGTTGTGTTCATTAACTATGGAGACATAAGTCTTCCTTGAATGTGAATTTTGTATCCACGAATGAGATGAGGGAGAAGGCCAAAAGAAAAAGTATTACAGGAATGATCTGTGTAGAAATGAAACTCTATCTCAAAGAAAAGATCTTTAAAGATCTATTGCAAGGAAAACAACACTCAATTTGCAAAGTATTATTAGGGTTATTATGACCATTATTCACACACCAGGCTGCTAATGCGAAGCAAGTCAGTGTATCTGAAACAATATAAGTGCTTTCCAACCACATCTGTAAACCAATCTAAAAGGGAAGTTGCACAAACTTACACACAAATACAACAAAGATGACAGAACTCATACTAGCTAACTCTGGTAAGGAGAGATGGCAAACACCGTCTGTAAACGTCAGTACGAGCTCAGCCCTGATAAGCAGAGGAGCCAAAATTGCTTTGAACAATCTTGGCACGCACATTAACACCTGAAATTATAAAGTTTGGGATTATGTCTAGTTGCAAGAGCAACAGCAGACTTGAAAGTATAATACATCAAAGAAACCAGTTAGCCCAGGGGATCTAACAGGAGGATGCCTTTATGTTGAGACTGATCAGACTCCAATTCAGTCCAAACTCATGTCCACGACTGCACACGATAGAAAGCACAGCATGAACACACCTGAGCTGCTGCTGACAGAGGCTCTCGGGGTGCAACAGCAGCTGAGCCACAGCAGTCTCACTGCACCAGTACGAGTTTCCCACATTGGTCTCACAGGCTGTGCTGAGCTCCAAACTTCCTTTTCTAGACTGACAGCTACTTTCAAACAGTGACAGGGAGCTTAAGGCTAGCACAGGTGTGTTCTACCCTCCACTGCAGTCAGGCACATAGATACAAGCAAATTTGCTGTGTTTGAGAGAGTCCTGAGCGATCAGTGCAATTCTGAAATACCTCTGAGCATCCTATTTCAGTGCATACAGGACAAAATCATTCCCACTTCTGGCATTCTTGTGAGTAGCTCCAAACTGGACTGAACGAACCAAACAAAAGCTCTTCTCCTGAAGCACAGGCTGCTCTCCCGAGAAGAATGAATATGATAACACTGTCTTTAAGAAGGCAGTATACTAGAGGACCATTTCTTTTCAAGCAAAACAAATCAGTCAAAACTTTCTTTACATAAAAGTCTGTTCCAATTTCATTTATATCACTACTAAAAACAAGACTAGTAAATCTACACAATCTTGGTTTTTCTGTGATTTGTATCCTGTCACTCTCAGTTCCCCCTCAGTGTCTCGCAATGGCTTGAATTCATCACACACTCCCACCAAAATATTTCCTGGAACTTCCTAAGTGCTTCATCCCCTCTCCTCATACACTTCAGTATCCCTATCCTCCTGTACAGCTCCAACCCATCTTTGCTCAAGCTGCCAGCTCTGCAACAGGCAGCCTGCTGTCAAATGTAGTTAATTATCAATCAATGAATTCAAAAACTACTGAAGGAGAAGGGCCAAAGGACACATATGGGTCTGAGCTGCTTTACCCTGTTGCTTTAGGAAACCAGGCTAAGAAATAGCCCTTCTCTCTAACTGGAATTTTTTTTCCACTCCTGAAACAGAAAAATTACAGTTGCTACTACTCAATTGCATTAGGAAGTGTCTTCTTGACAACAGAAACACAGGAGCATTACAGAGCTGTTGCATAACACTGAATATTAACTCATGTGAAAGGAATGATCCATAGACATCAACTCATATCACTCAAGAGCAGCTCTGTTCAGAAAACAGGCACTGAACATGAGTACTGGAGAGGCAGCAAAATAACCTAGATAAACCATAAGAATGGATGTTAACAATGTAACACTCCCCATTAAAAAGTAATTTCAAAAAATTCCACTGTAGACATAAATACAGTTCTCATACAGTATGATCTCTTTGGGCACTATAATTGTCACACGTTCTTCTTTCCATGCATGGAGCGCTTCAGTGACTCCTGAACACCACCGGGAATTTGTCTGCAAGACTGCAGCAACACACAGACTCAAAGACATAAGCTCACTTCTACATTTTATTGGTACATAAAACACCTTTTGTACTTTAATCAAAACGCATAACCCACACAATATTAAATTTGATGGAAATTTTTCACTTTTATTAACTTCAAAACAAAAACCTCTGTTCTTTGAAGGTGTTGATAGTAAAGTAAATACAGAAAAGCCATAAAGTAGGCAGTAAGCAAGCTGACACAAAAACAGGGAGTTACTTTGCTTCAGGGAAAAATTAGGTGTCCTGGGCTTCCCTTAACCTGCTAACCTTGTCAGTCATAATTAGATGACAACTGAAATGTTCCGGAATTTCTGCAGAGGCATCCTCTGAGAAGAAATCTTAGGCGTTTCTGAATATTTTAAAATGTCATTTCTCTTCCAACTTGGCTTTCACAAATTTAAAACAAGTCATAAAAGATAAGTGTAATGTGTCTCATTATTAATACAGCTCCAAACTGGCAGTTTATCATTCTGGCTGGCCACTCTGCTAGCTTTGGAAGGAGGTCCAACTATTTGCTCAGCCATTATCCTTTCACCCTTTTTCATAAAGATTTCAGAAGAACTGAACCAATAGAGCTATCCCATATATGCAAGACACGGCACACACACAGAGAGACAGAGAGACAGAGAGACAAGGGACTTTTCAAGACTCACATACGAGGATCAAGAGGCAGAGCAGGATTTTTAAGATGTAAGTATCTCACCATGAAAGAGCTTGTCAGTCCTAGTCACTTTGACCTGTGAGTTCCACTTCCACTTTTCCTGAAGTGAAACTAAACGTAACAATTACTATCTAAGTAAAAAGCAAATACTATTTGCCCATTAATATATGTAACTAAAAAGCTTCTCAAAGCAGTCCTGAACTGACTTTTCCCCCATCCTTAATTAAGATACTGAAAACACATCTGAAAAAGCCAGTTCCTTGACAACAATAAATGTTTCTGGACTCCTTTACATAGGAATGTTACTTGTGATGAACAAAGTAACTTTCAGTAACAAAGAAAAAGGGGCAAAATCTTTGAATCTACAGATCCTTAACTGGAATGACAGAAATTTCCAACCCCTTACATACCATAAAGGTATTTCATACTTGTACGACTGGTATTCCAAGCTTCCATTTGCTATAGTAGTGCCAAAAATTATAGGACTACCCTAGCCCTCCTTCCATATGGAAGAGCATAGTATAACCCATTATTAAAATACAACCACAAAAAAAATAGTCTGGAAAAGTCAAAAAGTTCAGACATGAGTTCAAGGGAAAACACAGGTGAACAGGAAAAACAGTAAAGGAGACAGAAGCAGGCAGAAAAGAGCAGATGATGCGGTGATAAGCGCACAACTGACTAAGCGGTCTGGCAGCTACCTCACATCTCTTTGAACCCATCAAGCCAGAGAACAGCTGTTTCCAAACTTAGTACTGAGAAGCTCTGAGTTTTTTTCCACAAGTCACCATGTGCCGTCATTAACGTTTACACTGGAGGTGAGGCACAGTGTGGATCACCTCCCACAGTCTCACAAGGCACCAGAGGTTCTCCAATCCATAGGCACCAGTGCGAGAGATGCAACCACCACCTATAGATCCGGATTTCTCACCACCCCACGCACGTACAGACCCAGTCGCACGTTGTACTTCGAACCCCTCGCTCCTGACACCTCGAAGCTGCATCAGGAGCTGCTTACGTGTCACCCTGTCACCTAGGGACACAGGTGACCTCCCCATGGGGCACCCACCCAACAGTGGGAGCAGGGAGGCTGTCACCTCTGTCCCAAGCCTGTC